AAAAAAAAAAAAAAAAAGAAAGCAGACTAGATGTTTCCAAGGCTTAGGCAGGGAGAATGCGGAGTGAGTGTTTAACAGGGACAGAGTTGGTTTGGGAAGATGAACGTGTTTTGGAGGTGGATGGCAGTCGTGGTCATACAACAGCGGGAACATTCTCACTGACCCTGAGTTGACTAATAATGGTTAAACTAGCAAAGATTAAGGTAGATGTTTTTTTACTGCATGAAGAAGTTAAACATAAAAATAGAAGAATATTTGCTTCAACTTGGCAGCTTAGAAAAGAAAAATGCCAAATGCGGTTGCTCACGCCCAAGATCCGAGCACTTTGGGAGGCTGAGGTGGGAGGATCGCTTAAGCCTAGAGTTCAAAACCAGCCCAGGCAACAGTGAGAACGCATCTGTACAAATCATTTGAAAGTTAGCTGGGTGTGATGGCACATGCCTGCGGTCCCAGCCACTTGGGAGGGTGAGGCAGGAGGATCGCCTGAGCCTGGAAGATTGAGTCCACGGTGAGCCACGATTGCACCACTGCACTCCAGCCTGGGCAACAGAGGAAGATCCTGTCTAGAATTTAAAAAGGGGCGGGGGAGAAAGAAATGTTGAAGGTTTCTTACTCGTCAGCTGTAGCCCTTGCTGATAAGATGCCTGTGTCTCTGCAGTGTGTGATCCGGTCCTGGGTGACAAGTGGGACGGCGAAGGCTCCATGGTGAGTAATTTCATGCATGTGATTTAAAAGCGTGGTGAGTGGAGCTCTTCCTGTCCAGCCGGAAGACAGGCCCACGTTCTAAGTGTCTAACTTGGTGAGACTCCTCTGTCCAAGGGAAAAGAGACAAACCTTGTTAGGAAGAAGGAAGAGGACCCCAACATGTTTTTTGGAAAGCACCAGACAGCAGATAAATATCTAAGGCTTTGCCAGTGCACGGCCCTGCCATGGCTGTTCCTATTAGAGCACAGAAGCCACCACCAGCAAGAGGTGCACAAACAGATGACAATTTTCTATTTTCTTTTCTTATTGAGACAAAGTCTCACTCAGTCGCCCAGGCTGGAGTGCAATGGCACAATCTCGGCTCACTGCAACCTCCGCCTCCCAGGTTCAGGCAATTCTCATGCCTTAGCCTCCCGAGTAGCTGGAATTACAGGCGTGCGCCACCACACCCAGCTAATTTTGGTATTTCTACTAGGTAGGTTTCATCATGTTGGCCAGCCTAGTCTCGAACTCCTGGTCTCAAGCGATCCACCCGCCTCAGCCTCTGAAAGTGCTGGGATTATAGGTGTGAGCCACCACACCCAGCCATGAATGACTATTTTCTAATAAAATTTCATTTGTGGACACTGAAATTTGAATTTTCTATAATTGTGTGTCACAAAATGTCATTCTTTTTTTGACTTTCTTTTCCCCAACCACTTAAAAATGTAGAAAACGTGCTGAGTGCTGTGGCTCACGCCTGCAATCCCAGCACTTCGGGAGCCCAGGCATTCAAGATCAGCCTGGGCAATGTGGCAAAACCTCGCCATCTCTAATCAAAGTACAAAACAATTAGCTGGGTGTGGTGGCACCCACCTGTAGTCCCAGCTACTTGGGGTGCTGAGGTGGGAGGATTGCTTGAGCCCAGGAGGAGGAGGCTGCAGTGAGCTGAGATCGCACCAGTACACTCACTCCACAGAGGGAGACCCTGTCTCAAAAAACAAAAACAAATCTAGAAACCGCTCAGCCTATGAGCTGTGTCATAACAGCAGCAGCCGCAGCCTGCAGACCTTGACATGGGATCAGGTGGGTGGAGAACAAATCCACGGAGGCCAGCCCAGACGCCTAGAATTTAGAGGCGGGAGGAGCCCCGGGTCACCCCACCTGTGGGTTTTCAGCTCAGCCGTTCCGCACGGGGGCCGTTTCAGCGTCCGCCTTCTTGTCGTTGTGCCTCGAGTGTCTGTTTGCTTGCTGCACATTTCACTGGGCACAGCAGGCTTCTCCACGGCCACAGGACACGCCTGGCCTGTGCCCTCCCTGCCCTGCTGGGTCAGTGGTTGAAGTCAGGATACCTGTCACTGGGTGCCCCATGAGTGGGTATGCTGGTCTGCTCAGTGTCTGTCTTCATCCACTTTCTCCTGTGCTTGTTCTCTGGAAGGTTCCGTACCCCATGCCCACCCCAGCTCACAGCCCTCTGCTTTCCCTTCACGGTGCTCCCTGGCGTGGGCTCTGCTGACCCTCGGCATATGCTCGTGTTTGGATCACAAAGAGTTGGGGCTGCTGTCCAGGGCAGTGTGGCTGAGGGATCTGGCCCCTTGATGTTGTCACATTTGTTTTCCTGAACGACAGTGGCCTAAACAGGAGTCCCTGTCTCAGACGAGCAGTCATCCATATCTTCCATTTCCGTGAGGTCAGAGGGGTGTGTTGGGCCTCCTACCCAAAACGGGGCTCTAAAGAGCTCTCCTTCCATTTTCTGATCCCATTTTCTGGGATCGGGGACTCCAGGCACCGCCCACCCGTCCTAGTGCCTCCTAAGCCATGTCACAGTCTGGTCGCAGCATCCAGTACGTGGCCACCTCGAGTGCTCTGAGCACCACGTGCAGAGGTGCCCCCTGCAGGGCCCTGATCTCCAAGGGAGGTGTCCGGGAGCAAAGTGAAGTGAAGGGATTGGAGACTCAGGCCAATCGGCCAGCAAGGGCTGGCGGAATATTCCGTAAAGCCCGCAGAATTCTCCCAGGGCTGCGCACTGGCTTCAGCTTGAATTTAATCATTAGAGAAAACCATGTGTTGAATTGTTTGTCGGGCAACTTAGACAAAAACAAATAGAGGAAGAGTGTGTCGACACAGCCAGGAGGAGCGCCCAGGTCGGGCTCCCAGCACCCACCCGCCGGGTTCCCTTTTCTCCTCTCCCTCCTCCCTCCCACTCTCCTTCACCTCGTCCTCTTCCCTCGGCCCCTTGGGGCACTTAGGGTTCCCACTCTCGTGTGCCTCTGCCACGTGTGCCCTGTGATGGGAACCACTTGTCTCCACAGTCAGGCCTGGACTTCCCGGGTCTTTTCGGGGAGCACTCCCTGGTGGGCATCCCTCTCAGTGACTCCCCTGCTGTCACCTTTGTTCCCAGTACGTCCCAGAGGACCTCCTTCCTGTTTACAAAGAAAAGGTGGTACCAGTTGCAGATATTATCACGCCCAACCAGTTTGAGGCCGAGTAAGTCATTTTATTTATATCATATCATATTATCATTATGTTAGGTTACGTTTTACTTTATTTTTTGAAATGGAGTCTCACTCTTGTTGCCCAGGCTGGAGTGCAGTGGCGCGATCTCAGCTCATTGCAACCTTCTCCTGGGTTCAAGCGATTCTCCTGCCTCAGCCTCCCAAGTAGCTGGGATTACAGGCATGCACTGCCACAGCCAATTCCTGTATTTTTAGTAGAGATGGCATTTCACCATGTTTGGCCAGGCTGGTCTTGAACTCCTGACCTCAAGTGATCCACCTGCCTTGGCCTTCCAAAGGGCTGGGATTACAGGCGTGAGCCACTGTGCCTGGCAGAGTAAGTCATTTTAAATGGCGAAATGCTACCAGTCCTTCCCCAGGAAGAGCCACAGAGCCCCTAGGAGTAGAAAAGGAGGGGCGTCCCGGAGCTGCGGGCTTGCGGGGGCCACCACAGCGGGGGTGGGGGCAGCTGTGGAGGAGGCCAGGTCACCTGCCACCCTGTGAGGGGAAGTGAAGTGCGTTGGGCCTGCCTGCCTGATACTGAGTTTGAAAAGGTCTTTCTTTGGGTGCATGCCCTGCGCCCCAGCTAAAGAATCAGATGCCAAGGGGGAGCCGCCAGCGCCCCAGTGCCGTGAAGCATGGAGCCACCCGAGGAGGGGGCCAGTGCCTGTCACAGTGCCCTGAGCCAGGTCCTGAGCCCCCCCATTCACACAGGGATGGGGGTGGCTGGACTCTTGGAGTCCTGGGATCCGTGACGTGGGCCTGTCCAAACCGGGGGGCCCCGAGCCATTGGGTAGCCTGCGCATGCGTTAATCGTTAGCGGCTCTTTTGACTTTGTGTGGACACCAGTCACCCATGTTGGGACACTATGCTGTGGCGTGGGCTTAAGTGGGGGCCGTGGCCACTGTTCATCGCCATGGTTACCTATAAACAGCAGCCACGACTGGGCCTTGCCTGCCTCCTCTTGTGTGAGGGGCCCCTTTGGAACCAAACCCCACATGTTGCAGAGGCCCTGGCCCGTGGTGGCCAGTGGACAGAGTTCCCTGTGGGGATGGCAGTTTCCAGAGCCGCTGAGGTTTTGGGAATGTCAGCACACAAAGGAGAGGAGAGGTTCACCTGTCCCCGCTCACCTGCCCCCGCCTGTGTTCCAGGTTACTGAGTGGCCGGAAGATCCACAGCCAGGAGGAAGCCTTGGCGGTAAGGAGACCCTCGGGGGCCTGTGCGGGGCAGATGTGCCACTCACGGTGGGGACAGGAGACGGGCTACCTGAGTGGCACTGTGGGGTCGTTTCTCCCCAGTGGTGACTCAAACGTCCACCAGTTAGTCAGGGGCCTTCAGAGACCCGCAGGATTCAGGATTTGTGTGCGTGTGCATGAGCGTGCATGGGTGCACACATGTTTAAAGAGATACTACAAGGTGGCGGCTTGAGCTGCTGGGGGCTCCTGGGCAGGTTTGGAACTTGCAGGGCAGGCTGTTGGGAAGGGCGAGCCGGACACGCGACACAGGAGCAGATGCAGCAGCCCGAGGTGCAGTTTCTTCAGTCATTTCTCCGAGACTTGGGGACCGCAGGTGTCACGTAGGCATTGAGCCTGGGTAGAGTCACCTTAGTTCTTCCGGCTGCTATGACAAAATGCCTGAGACTGGATGATTTATTTAAAAAACAGAACTTTCGGCTGGGTGCGGGGGCTCATGCCTCTAATCCTAGCACTTTGGGAGGCCAAGGTGGGTGGATCACTATGTCAAGAGTTTGAGACCAGCCTAGCCAACAAGGTGAAACCCCATCTCTACCAAAAATACAAAAGTTAGCCAGGCGATGTGGTGGGTGCCTATCATCCCAGGTATGGAGAGGCTGAGGCAGGAGAATCGCTTGAAGCCGAGAAGCGGAAGTTGCAGTGAACCAAAATCGCCCCACTGCACTCCAGCATGGGCAACCGAGTGAGTGAGACTCTGTCTCAAAAAACAAACAAACAAAAAAATGGCCAGGCACAGTGGCTCACACCTGTAATCCCAGCACTTTGGGAGGCCGAGGCAGGCAGATCACAAGGTCAAGAGATCAAGACCATCTTGGCCAACGTGGTGTAACCCCGTCTCTACTAAAACTACAAAAATTAGTTGGGCGTGGTGGCATACACCTGTAGTCCCAGCTACTTGGGAGGCTGAGGCAGGAGAATCGCTTGAACCTGGTAGGTGGAGGTTGCAGTGAGCCAATATTGTGCCACTGCACTGCAGCCTGGGTGACAGAGTGAGACTCCATCTCCCAAAAAAAGAGAAAAAAAAAAACCCAGAACTTTGTCTCCCCACAGTTCTGGAGGCTGGGAAGTCTAAGGTCAAGGTGCCGGGAGGCTCAGGGTCTGGGGAGGGCTGCTCTGCGGCCCAGACTGCGCCTTGTTGCTACGTCCTTGTGTGTGGACAGCCCGTGCCGCTCCCTCCAGCTCTCTCATCGGGCATGGAGAAGGGGTGCCCTCATGACTAAGCCACTGAGGAGCCCTTCAGAATACTGCCATGTGTGTGTGATGTTTCCACATGGATTTTAGGGCAGACACTGGCAGACCGCGGTGGGTGTCCACGTGCTTTGGGCCACGTTCCGAAGCAGCCCGGCCTTGCCCTGAGTTTTCACAGCCCAGGAGCCTGGTCCTCGGAATGGGCCACTGCAGGGGCCACTCCTCCCACTTTGAGGCCTTTCACTGAGCTGGCACTGGGCCCTGGGGCCAGAGTCAGCAGGCCCTGGGGCAGCGTCCAGGTTCTGCTATGGACATGTGCTGTGTGGCAATGCTGTGTGGCAATGCTGTGTGCGTGTGTGTGTGTGTGCGCGTGCACACATTCATGCTGCCTGCTCTGAGGCAACTGTGCAGTGGAGACAGGAGTTTCTACAGGAGTTACAGAAAAGCCGAGGTATAGAGAGGCCAGCTCCTCCCTGCTGCAGGACAGGGACGCATGTGTTCATGTACCTGCCCAGACCCCAGGGGGAGGCCCTCTCGGGTCACCTGGGGGAGCCACACTCTTTGGGCTGACAGTTTGGGGGGATGGTGGCTGACCAGGTGGCTCTCTCCCCTCCCGGGAGTGCCACCACTGGGAATGGGCTGCGGGGAGTGGAGTGTGGCGGCCGTGGCTGACGCTCCCCATGCCACTGGCAGGTGATGGACATGCTGCACTCCATGGGCCCCGACACGGTGGTCATCACGAGCTCCGACCTGCCCTCCCCTCGGGGCAGCGACTACCTGATTGTGCTGGGGAGCCAGAGAAGGAGTAAGTGCCCCAGTCACGCGCCGCGGGCTCCTCAGGTTTTTCCAGAGGAAGATGCCCTTTGGGACAGCAAGAATGTTTTAGGTTCAATAGCATGAAAAGTATGCTTTATCCAGCACCGGGATGATGCCCCCATTTTTTAGACTCTCAGGGGTCGGGTGGAATTCCCAACACTGCACAGGTCATGATGAATGGCCCAGCTGGAGCCGACTTCCACAGGCCCAGCATCACAGACCTCCCTCACAGCTGGACCGTGTCCCTGAGCTCACTGGGAGGACACCTCTGCCTGGCTGTGCGGAGTGTTTAAGTGCAGAGACACCAACTGGTTGATTTCCTCTGAGCCGTGTGAAATGCAGAAAGCTGGAGCCGTGAGCTAAGCTAGTGGCCCCAAGTCCACACCCACGGCCCCGAGAGAACAGTCCCGTGTACAGCCTCCATACCACTGTGTCTGCATGTGGACATGGGAGCCCTGTGAGCACACACGTGGGCACACGTGCACACATACATGCAACAGACACGCAGATGTGCACGTACGGGACAAATATGCATACATGTGGGCACAAATGCACATACACATGGGCACATGCACACATGCAGATGGGCACACGGACAAGCACACAGGCATACATGCACACAGGCACACAAGCACACATACATGTGAACACACAGGCACATACACAGGCATACATGCACATGAGCACACAAACATGGAGGCACAGCCATACATGCACACACATGCATACACATGCAGACATACATGTGTGCACATGCAGACATGCACACACATACATGCGGACATGCACACATGGGCACATACAGTCATGCTTGCACACACATGCATACACGGGCACACATGTGGACAGGCACACATACACGTGGACATGCACACACACACATGCACACATGCAGATGCACACACACATGCATACACGTGGATGCACACACATGCATACACACGGACGCATACAAGTGGACACACATTAAACACTTGGATGCATCCAGACATCTCCTACTTCTTCACGCTGTTGTTACTCTCGGGAGCTGCACAGCGACCCCCGAGACTGGCCAGCCTGTGTGTGTGGCCCTCTGAGGGTGTAGTCTCACTTTCCCTTGCAGCGGTGATGGGGCCCCCATGCATGCCCCCGTGTCCTGAGTGAGGCCACCCTGTGCTCTGCCCCTGTGACCCTCGCTGTTGCCCCTGTGACCCTTGCTGCTGCTGTGCCCGGGAGGACCAGGGACAGGGAGGCTGGCCGTGGCAGAGGAGCCACAGGCCTCAGTGGCCTTGCCCGTCTTCTCCCCAGGGAGTCCTGACGGCTCCACCGTGATGGAGCGCATCCGGATGGACATTCGCAAGGTGGACGCCGTCTTTGTGGGCACTGGGGACCTGTTTGCTGCCATGCTCCTGGCGTGGACACACAAGCACCCCAGCAACCTCAAGGTCAGCCACGCTCCTCGCTCCCCTCCTAGGCCACTCCCATGGCACCTCATGGGGAGCAGGGTATGAGAGTTCTGGTGGGGGGACCCCGCTGAGCCAACAGGGCCTGGTGCTGAGTGCTGGCCCCAGTTGTGGGGGAGGGCAGTGGCCAGGCTGTGGGCTCCGGAGTTGCACCTGTCACCCTCACATCACCTCCCCATCCCTTATTTGGGACCTAGGGATGCTCAGAGTCTTGGGGGGGTTCGGGTGACAGACACTTCAGAACAGACCCATGGGGCCCCACCTGGATTGAGAGGCCGCCCGTCTCGCGTTGGTGCAGGGCTGTGGGGTGCATGGGACTGTCGTGTCCTTGGTGACCTGGGAGCTGCTGTGGAAGCGTGGCCCCCTGCAGCGTGTTTCCCACAGTGCGACCACGGCAGCAACCTGGGGGACTGAAAGGCTGGAGCCACCCTTCAGGGACAGTAGGCGGGAGGCTGAGGACAGGGTCCAGGCAGGGGCAGAGAGCCATTTTCCCGGGCATCGTTGGGATGTCTGTCTGCATTTTAGATTTGCAGGGGTGGGGTGGCTTTGCTCAGACACTGCTGGGCGGAGTGGGTCTGTTGGTAGACCGACACGGCAGGTCGGGATGTGAGGTCTTGTGAGACTTTCTTGTGTGTCCCGTGGTTAAGTGCACAGCTCAGTGGGACAGAGGAGTTTTGTTACAACCGTGTCACTTAGATCCGTGACCTCCTGTGCTACGGGCAGCAAAGTTGCATTGGGGCCTCGCCAGGTGGTTTTGTCATCTGAGACCGAGCACCTCTGGAGGGTGTCTTCTTACAACACTGTTCAGAGCCCGGCCGTGTTTTGAGGTGGTCCCCAGCCCCTGGGCTCAGCCCCTTAAACTCCCCTGGGTGCTCCCTGCTGCATCTGCAGTGGGTTTTGGGGGAGGAAGGGGCTTGCCATCCCTTTGGAATGTGGGGCAGGGCAGGGGTGCCGTGGGAGCGGCGGGAGGAAGTCAGGACGCCTCCGTCACCATTGGGTGCTCCAGGGAAGGAAGGATTCAAGGGTCAGGACCTGGAGGTGGCTCTCCCAGTGCTGTCTTTGCCAGGCTCCTCAAGGGGCCACATGTCTCCCGGGGCGCACCTCCTCCCCAACAAATCAGTTTCAGCTGAGTGTCCCGGTGTGTAAAACGGAAGAGGTGGACTGAGGCCCTTCACCTCCCATGGGCCAGCCCTCTGCACAGCCCAAGCTGGAATGCGAATGCACAGTCCCCTCATTCCGTCTCTTCTGGCACCTGAGGGGCAATTAAACGGGGCCATTGAGCAGGCCTGCTGTGTTTAATTGGTGGTGCAGAGCAGCGGAAACATGCCAGCTGGTGCCCCAAGGAGGCCTCGCTGCACGGCCACCTAAGGTCACATTCTGGGTTTGGCCAGCCCAGGGTTGTAGAGTCCGGGAGCGAGGCCCCCGTGCTCCCCGGCACCTTTGACTGAGCTTTAGGCAGGAGCGCCTCCCCTTGTAGACTCGTTATAAGGAGTTAATTCTGGAAACTCTTACCAAGCACGTGCTGCCTGCCAAGTTCTATGCAGGTCACGAGGCTGTCCCTTCTGTGAGCCATCTCTGGTCCAGAGCAAGTGGCTGGTACCAGACATCCGCTCAGCTCTCCAGGCTCTCTGGTGGGCAGTCGCAGCCTGTCCAGGGCTCAGTGCGGGCACTGGTGGAGCCGGCGCCCCAGGCTGGGAGAGCAGGCCAGTCCTTGCATTCACTGGAAGTCCCCTCCCGGCAGCAGTGGGCACGTCGGTTGTTGTGAGTGGGGCAGGGGCACAGCAAGTGTCTCCTCCCTGCAGGTGGCCTGTGAGAAGACTGTGTCTGCCATGCACCATGTTCTTCAGAGGACCATCAAGTGTGCAAAAGGTACGGCAGCCGGGCTGCGTGGGCTCCGTGGGCTGCATGGGCTGCGTGGGCTCCTGGCTCTGAAAGCGGGTGGGACAGAAGAGCCAGCACGTGCTGCTTTCGAAGGTATGACCAGTGTCTCCTGCTGGCCTCGCCTTTGGGAGTGGGGGCAGCGGGCAGCGGCGGGAGCCCCTCTGAGATGGGAGCTCAGTGCTCCTCTGCCCGCCCTGCAGCCCAGGCCGGGGAAGGAGTGAGGCCCAGCCCCATGCACCTGGAGCTGCGGATGGTACAGAGCAAAAGGGACATCGAGGAGCCGGAGATCGTCGTCCAGGCCGCGGTGCTGTGAGGGCCGCACAGCTCCCTGTGACGCGCAGTGCGTCGGTGTCTCCGTGTCTGTCCCTGTGAAAACATGTAACGTCTGCCTTAGAGCCATGACCGAAACTTGATCTTTTTTTCTTTCATGAGTGTCCGGCATCCGCTGGTCTTCATTGTGAAATGTGCCAGTCGTGCTTTGTGAAAAGTAACAAAGCAGTTACAGAAATCTGTGATCGGAAAACCCAGCTCCCCTCCCCACACGGCTCCAGGGCCTCGGGAAGACTGGCCCCCATTTGCCATCTCAGGGGTGTTCCATGGGGGAGGGTGAGTGAGTGAGGCCGAGACTGCCGTGCGTGGAGCCTCGAGCGGGCCCCTGGCTGCCACCGCTGGGCCTGGCTGGGCCTGGGTGTGCTTTCCTTGCACCTCTGAGAAGGAGCTGGGTGGGAATGGTTAGGGTCAGGAAGAATTATGCCAAATAGCTTTACTGTCATTCCCAGCATATCCCGTTGGTTCCTGTATTCGAATTTTTGTTTCTTACTTTGCTGCTTGTTCAGTCCCTGGGGACTTCAGATCGTAGGCTGTCGTTTTACCGTGTGGGAGGCTGATGTGAATTTGCTCGGATGTGCACAGGTGCAGCGACAGGGACCTTCCCAGGCCCTGGCAAACTCCAGTCAGTCTGCAGTCCTCTCGGGGGTCCGCAGGACCTCCTGTACCCCATGGGTGTCTTCTGGGAATCTGCTGAGCAGCTTGAGGAAGATGCTAGTGCAGTGAGGTCCGTGCTGGGCCGAGGGCAGCTTTGAAGCCCTGGAGAGTCACCCCATCAGGTTCCCTGCGGAAGTTCACTTCATCATGCTGTGACACATTTGCCAGGTGCTGCCCGTGACGGTGCATGGAGCCACAGCCTTTGTACAGACAGGACAGAGGGGTGCCCGCTCCCCAGCCCCACTGGCACATTTAACCCTTGTTCCCTGCCCTCAGTCCTACATTCTGTGCCCCAGCAAATGCCCAGGGGCAAGAGGCCACTCTGGGAGCTGCCAATCTTCTGAGGTGGAAGTGGGGGCGGGCAGCTCCCAGGCCCTTGGGCAGGCTGGGGTGGCAGCAGAGGCCACAGCACCAGCTCTAACAAGTCCAGTCACCCTCTGCTCAGCGGTGCCCCAAGCTTGGGGTCCCCCAGGCATAGCTGGAGGCAGCAGTGCCTGTCTCTGGCCTGCTTTGCTCTCAGCCACACCCCTGTACCCCATCTCTTGGGTGTGCAGAGGTTTGTGTCTCCAGGGAACCTATAGCTGGAGAGAAATGGAGAGATGCAGGAAGCAGGGGCCCTGGGAAGTGGACTCTCCAAGGGGTACCCCCACCCCACTACCTTCCCCACAGGCAGGTCCTCCTGGAGCCCACACCCTCCTGTGAGGCTGCTCCAGTGTCTTCCAGAAAGACTCGCTTACCAGGAGTGCATTTTTTATTGAAAAATGCCCTAAAGCGAAGAGATGCAAGTCTAGATGGAACCCCCCACCCCTCCCCACTCTGTTCGTTCTGAATGTCTTCATGAGTGTGCATCAGGGTGCCTCATTCCCCAACCTCAACCAGCGAGTCGGGCATGGATTTCCCTGCTGTGTTTCCTGGCTCCGAGGACATAGGTGGCAGGCCCCTTGCAGTCCAGGGCTGCCCGTCCCTGCAGGGCACACCGCCCCAGCAGGAAGGAGGAAGCCTGTGGCCGGATCCTGGCGGGGAGGCGGCCTCCTCAGTGGGTGAGCTACCAGGGCCTGGGGCCTCGGTGGGGCTTTTAAGTGGAAATGCCCCCACCAGCAAGTGGAGACTGGGGCGTGTGCCACGTGGCCAGAGGAAAGCTTTTCTTTTTCTTTTCTTTTCTTTTGTTTTTTTAACACCAAGAGTGAGTAGAGCAGCAGGGAAAGAACCTAAATGTCTCTCTTCCTTGGTTGGTGCAAACCCAGCGTGAGAGTGCAGCGCCGGTGTGGGGCTCCCGGCGAGCAAGCTTCGATCCTTGGCTCTTTGAGGCTGGCTTCAGAGGCTGAGTTCCCACATCAGGTTTGGTTTTTGGAATTCCCTAATTAAGCAAGAATCAGGAGAATGACTGTCCCCACAGGCGCTTCCCGTAAACCCTGAGCTCCCTGTCGCAATCCGAAACTTCCCCTTCTGTTTTCTTTGGCTGTGTCTGCAAAGCCGGGAGAGGCCTGGGCTGTGACTAAGGAGGAAGAAATGGGGGTCTCTGAGAGCAGACGGCGCCCTGGTGGGTGCAGGGCTCTTGTGGAAATCGCTAGCCCCCACGGGAAAGGTGGCCGGCATCCCCCCAGGCATGTGCTGTCTCTCGTGACTCGGGCAGAGGCCCCGGTGGTCTTGATTTTCTGTTTCCTATCCAGGAATTGGCCGTGGGCATTGGCCGTGGGTTTCTTGTGGCTTGGATCCAAATTAGAATTGATCTTCCTTTCTACTTCCCCTAGTTAGTAACATGCAAGACGCTGAGCAGAATTTCTTTTAAGGTGAGTGCTGTATTCATGCAGCATCGCCTCTATCAGGGGACAGAATTTTAATACTTTCTTAATCCATTTTTTCAGACTACTTCTTATAGATCATAAGGATGAATTAATTCCACAATGGGATCCTTTTTAGAATCGATTTTAAATTATTGCCTAGTCCTGCCAATTATGTGCGCTTGTTAATGCTGCAATACATATAAACAGTTACCGTGGGATGCTTCGCTTCACGTCCTGTTCTTAAGCTTGTTAGAGCCAGTTTTTAAAATGTTTGGTCTTACATGGACGGAGGCTTGGCTTAGCCACACTGATGAGTAAGTGAGGGTTGTTTTCATCTTGAGGTCACCATTCTAGAGAGTTGCCTACAGCAGGTGGGGGGCCAAGTCCCTGCGGTACTGTTCCCACTGCCCTGCGAGGTCAGAAAATAAAACTGGATGTGTGAGCTCAGGCCTCTCTTGTGGTTGGGGTCAGAGAAGGCAGAACCCGCAGTGGGGCACAAGGTGCCAGGCCCTGGGAGGGCACCGGCCAGGGAAGGTGGCATGGTTGGCCCTCAGACCACCGGGCCTCGAGCAGCCCCCCACCCTGCCCATCCACCTGCCCTGGCCCCAGCCTCTCGTTCTCTTTAGAGAGAGGTGAGAGTGTTCTGGCGGCTGGAGCTCTTTCCTTGTCCTTCCTGCCCTCCGATGGGGCCCCCTGTGTGGGGCAGCAGAATCCACCTGTATGCAGATCACAGGCGCCCAACCGTGTGTCTGGACTGTGCCAGGAGTGTCCCTCTCTCCCTGCCTCCCGCCTGGCCTCAAGGGCCTCCTTCACGCACCCCTCCTTGTGGAGCACTTGCCTGGGCCCAGAGCGGGGTAACTGGACTTTGTGAGTGAGCAGAGCAGGTTATATGCAGACAGGGAAACGAGAACTCTGGACCAGGCTTTCCAAGTCCAGCTGGAAGCTCTGTGGTCCCCCAACGCCACTCTGCCCGCCAGAGGGACGTGCCTTCTGAGTGCTTTCCTTCCACGTGGCCTCTCACCACCAGGCCAGCAGCTTCCCCTGAGACTCCCTGGAGAGAGTCCACCAAGCACTCAGACGGATGCTGATCAGCAGGTCCGAGGAGGTGCCCAGAAGGATCCCAGGCCCTAGGGAGAGTGGCTCTGGGAGGCCAGGTCCACTGCCTGGAAGTCTGTCAGCCCTGAGCCAGGGAAGCCTGGAGCTTGGCCTGGTGGGTCTGGGTGGACACTGTCCCCGTCTCCCGCCCCCCACCGGACTCCAAGCACAGGGGAGGAGGCCTAGCCCATGTGGTCCTGTAGCCGTGGGCAGAGCTGGCCACGTCGTGTGTGTTCCTGCCTGCCAGGTGCAGGTGCTGGCTGGCCACCTGCAGGCGGAAGGTGGTGGTAATCTTGGATTTTATTTATTTGTTTTTTGAGACAGAGTCTTGCTCTGACAACCAGGCTGGAGTCTCTGCGTCCCAGGTTCAAGTGATTCTCCTGCCCCAGCCCCTCGAGTAGCTGAGATTACAAGTACACACCAGCACACCTGGCTGATTTTTGAATTTTTGGTAGAGACAGGGTTTCATCATTTGGCCAGGCTGGTCTCAAGTGATCCACCCGCCTCAGCCTCCCAAAATGCTGGGACTACAAGCCTCAGCCACTGCACCCAGCCGAATCTTGGAATTTTGAGAGACAGCACCTCCCTTGGCTGGAGTTGCCGACCCCAGCCGCACACCAAACCCTCCCGCCCTAGCAGCAGGGGTTGCCACCAGGCCAGAGCCGGGCCGGGTCTCCGAGTTCCCGGGAGGGGGAACATGAGCTGCCCCCACCTTCGAGGGGACTTCCTTCAGTGTGCGGCTCGGCTCTGTTAGGGGGTAGGAACCCATGTGCATGGCCTGTGCTACGTTCCCCAGTGAGGAGCTGGGCTCCGTGTGTGTCCCTTCCCTGCAGGACCCAGCGGGCATCATGACGTGGCAGCTGTGCCCCAGCCACGGCCCGGCATCCCGGCCGGGGCCCACGGTCGCTCCCGCCGGGGGCTCCTGTTGTGTGCGCGTTCTCATGTCGCCTCTGTTGTTCGTTCTCAGTGCAGAACGTTTCCTGTTCCCAGCGGTGAAGACACCGCTTTCCATCAGTGTCTAAAACCACATTCCTGCCTTTTGTCGCCACAGTGTGTTCATTTGTTTAAAACAGAGTTTAATGAGTAAGTTTAGATCTGACTGGTCAATATCTTAAACTTTATACTAATAAAAAGCTCTTCCTGGAATTTTTCTTTCATTCTGGCAGCGTAAACAGGTGTTTATAAGTTTTCCCGCTGTCTGAGCCGAGCAGGATCCTGTTCTAGAGCAGAAGATTTCCCCTTCCATCTCTGACCCCCTTCCTGGGACAAGCCTTGTTGGGGGGCCCTGGCTTCAGAGCTGTGGTGGGAACAGCACCCTCAAATGCCAGCCTCCTTTCTTCCCATCCACCAGTTCACTGCGGGGCCATTTCTGGTCTTTGTCCAACAGGAAACCCATTTCTGGTGGGATCTGCCTTCCAGGGCCACAGGGCCACTCAGCCCAGGCATCTCTGTCCTGCAGGTCAGTGCTGGGATGGACAGCAGGGGCGAGCCCAGTATCTGGCAGATGGGGTGGGTGAGAACGGAGAGGGGAGGATGCCACCCGAAGCCTGTGTCTGGGAAGTCCCCACACAGCCTGGGTACTGCCTGGAAAGCCTGTCCTGAGTTAACCGTGGGCCGGGCCTCGCCTCGCCCAGCGGCCTGCGAA